TGCAATGTGCTCAATGCCTCCTGAAGGCCTGCTTGGTGTTGTTTTGGAACTGGCTGTTTTTTAATCCAAGCGTCCACTGTTTTGGTTACGAGTGTGTGCGGTGCGGCTGTGGTGAAAGGACGTGTGGTGTTTGTGCCTGGTAGATTTTGGAGCTATCCTGTAGGTCGGTGATTGTGGTTTGTCGAGGAGCATCACTTACACTGCGAGGAGTGGTGGTGTGTGCTGAGGTAGTAGTGTTTTCCGCACCGCTTGCTTTGATGCCCATGTCCATCCAATTGGACCATCCCATGTATGCCAATTGACGTAGGTGGATACTTTCGATGGGTTCGGCCTGCAAGTTGGTACCTTTGGCTCCAAGCTGTGGATGTGATTTGGCGTGGAAACGTCAAGCCATACTGGTGTTTGGTGTCAAAGTGTTCATTGTCTGGCTGGAAACTGCTCGGTAAGTTGCGGTCGTACCGCTTTGTGCCTTGTGGGCTCGGTGGTTCGTTCCAATGCTGGTGTTGTGTGTGTGCTTGAAATGCTCTTGGTGGTGTGTTGACTTGGTATTGTTTCGAATGCCAAGAATCATACGGTCTCATGCTGCCGCGCCACGAGGTCATGGTTGCACTCAAACAACGAAAACACGTGAAGGTGTCTTGATGATTGCGATAATATTTACTTTTGAGCACGGAGATTGCTATCAGAAACAAAGTCCGAAACAGAGATTGCTATCAGAGACAACATCCGAAACAAAATTGGAACAATGGATGAAATTAGGCAATTAGGATTTGATAACATCAACAATGTTAACACATGCGACGCTTAGAATTACAATGGGTGACGACATGTTGGCAAGACTCTTCAAAACAGTTCCAAACGGCTTGGTGGAAGTACACTGTACATCGGCTCTTTTTGTTGGTTCCGCTGGTATGTTCTATGCCACGTGTCACCAGGAAGATTTCACAAGGGATATTATTTATATCACAAGGACACATTATATTTATAGGAAGGTGGAGATTCTTGAAAATTAATAAATTCGATAAAAATGGCATATCATATTGTAATATAAACGGAGGTGAAACTGGCGTATCAGCAGCCTCTCATTTGCACGTCTGTCGGCAGCAGCTGCGGCTCGCCAAACTCATCTTCATGCTCAAGCATGTGCTGTACTGGTGTGGAGAAGTTTGGATCAGGCTTAAGGATCCAAATGCTGGAGATGTGTGCCAGTGTTGAGTGAATGCACCAGCGGCAATCCCGTGGTCTGTGGACTATGCCGTGAGTGTCCACTTCTTCTTGTTCGGCCCATCCAGATTCGTTTGTGGCATGTGCCCAGTGGTAGTAGGCGTTGCCTGCTTGTGATAGTGATGTTGTGGTGTTGCGTGGCATGTTTTGTAAGTGTAGTTGCCACATTCTGAATTGTTGGTGCTGGTGAAATGTGATGTGGGTAAGTGTGTTGTTGATAGGCATGCCGGTTGTGACGATGTACTTTGCTAACGTTGTGGTGATGTCTTCTTGTGGTAGGTCGATTCCTGCTGGAAATCGTGTTTCCAACCAAGCTGTCATGTCACGTACACTTTTGTCCCGATCTGATAAGAATCGGAAGTATACTGACGGTGCTGTGAGCTCACGGGCTTGGAGTGTTGCTGAGTGAACGCGTTGCTCTAACTCTTGGTACTTGAATATCTGGTAGCTGTCACGCGTGGGAGGTTCCCACGGAATGAGGACTGACGGATCCTGTTGTATTTGTCGTTCGATGGCTTCTTGAAGGTGATCAATTGCTTGTGTTGGCTGTGGTTCGTTTGTAGTGTTGGTGGTGTCAAGTGGTGTTGGTGGTGTGTGTTGCTGGCGAGGTGTGAGGTGGGCTTGTCCCGCTGTGACAGTCTTTGATGTTGTGGTGTTGTAAATGTTCTTGGACTTGGCGATGGACCTGATTTGGTCAGCCAGGCTAGTCGGTGGTGGTACTTTGGGAGGAAGCAAAGGAGGCGGCGGAGGTGGTTGTTGATGAGGAGTGGGAGAAGTGGAGAACAGGTGTTTACCTGTGTGTTCTGATGGTAACGGTGGTGGTGGAAGAGATGGTAGTTGTGTTGTTGTTGGTGGTGGTAGTGGTGAAGTGTGGTGATGTGGTGACGTGTGTTGCTGAGAAGATGCTGCTGGTTTGTGTCCGGTGTGTGATCGATGGTTGGATTTGGATCTGTCAGTGTTTGAGGGATGTTGCCTGCGATGTGAACGATGCTGGCGTCGACGTTGTGATTGGTGTTGTGATTTGTGGTGTCGTGAGTGATGTCGTTTCGTAGATTTGCGTCGGCTGTGTCGCCTGGTAGTGGATCTGTGCTTCTTGCATGTGGTGAGAGATCGCGTACGGCTGTGCTTGTTGTGACTCCGTGGTGGAGTTGAAGCTGTAGTGATTGGAGATTGCTGTGAAACTGGTGTGGCTGGTAGTGGTTGTACTAGTGTCGTGCTTGTTAAGTGTGGTGTAGGCTGGTAAGTGAGGAGTGATCCATATTGTGATGGTGAGAGCTGAGGATTGGGTATGGCTGCGTTGTAATGTGGTGGTGGCTGAAGACCTGGCATGGCTGTGCTGTGATGTGGTGTGTTGAAAGTGTGACAAGATGGAGGTTGTGTAAACGCAGAGTTGGCAAATGGTGCTTGTGTTGGCTGTGGGACGGTGTGTCCCAGAAGTTGTGGTTGTTGTTGTGGAGTTGGAGCAAAAGGCTGTGTGAAAGCTGCTGTGGTACACTGTGGCTGCATTGATTGTGGTAAAGTGTGTCCGGCTCGATAATGTTGTGGTGGAGTCTGAGAGAATGTTGATAGAAAAGGTGCTGATGCTTGTGTGTTGTGTGATGCTGAACTCATCCACTGGGCAAACAAATCAGCTGCCGTCATCGCGGGCTGCATGGTCGGAATCACGAAGCTGCAAGCGCTGCACATGTCAATCTTCAATGTGGCCATGATGTCAAATCGAAAGTTATCTAACTCATGTTATTACTCAACATGGCATGATGATTCACATTCATGGCTTTCAAAGGTGATTGGAGTGAGTGGAACTGGATCGAATATGGCGTTGCATGTCAAATGAGCGTTGGCTTTGCTCAGCAAGAATGTGGAGGTGAACCCAAGCTGTGGTGTGCTTGGAAAGATTGTGGTTGTAAAATTGGAAAACTTGTTGATATCTGTGCTTCTTGCTTGTGGTGCGAGATCGTGTACGGTTGTGCTTGTTGTGACTCAGTGGTGGAGTTGAAGCTGTAGTGGTTGGAAATTGCTGTGAAACTGGTGTACTAGTGTCGTGCTTGTTGAGTGTGGTGTAGGCTGGTAATTGAGGAATGATCCATGTTGTGGTGGTGAGAGCTGGGGATTGGGTATGGCTGCGTTGTAGTGTGGTGGTGGCTGAAAACCTGGCATGGCTGTGCTGTGATGTGGTGTGTTGAAAGTGTGACAAGATGGAGGTTGTGTAAACGCAGAGTTGGCAAATGGTGCTTGTGTTGGCTGTGTGACGGTGTGTCCCAGAAGTTGTGGTTGTTGTTGTTGTGGAGTTGGAGCAAAAGGCTGTGTGAAAGCTGCTGTGGTACACTGTGGTTGCATTGATTGTGGTAAGGTGTGTCCGGCTGGATAATGTTGTTGTGGAGTTTGAGAATGTTGATAGAAAAGGTGCTGATGCTTGTGTGTTGTGTGATGCTGAACTCATCCACTGGGCAAACAAATCAGCTGCCGTCATCGCGGGCTGCATGGTCGGAATCACGAAGCTGCAAGCGCTGCACATGTCAATCTTCAATGTGGCCATGATGTCAAATCGAAAGTTATCTAACTCATGTTATTAGTCAACATGGCATGATGATTCATGTTCATGGCTTTCATGTTGCGCCATGTGAACTACGTGATGATTCATGTTCAGGGTTTTCATGTTGCACCATGTAAACTACGCGAAAACCATAAACTGGTCTCAGCGAGACTAACGAGTCATGTCTGTAAAAAGCCGCGAGCAGTCATGCATGGTATCCGTGTTGCAATCATACTACTAGTTCATGTGTAGAGGTCAAGGTTAAGAGTGAAATGACGGTCGTGTTAGTTAAACAAGTAGAACCACATGGGATGACACGGGGTTATTCTGAGGGATGAAAATTTCACTCTGGATTTATTCTGACGTGGACTCTGGATTTATTCTGGCGTGGACTCTGGATTTATTCTGAAAAGCATTCAATCCCCTGATGGAGTCTTCTGGATGCTTGTGCGGACTCTGGATGCTTGTGCGGAACTGGCTTCTGGCAACATTATGTCTGGATTTATTCTTGTAACCTGGTATCCCCGGCGGACGCACCACCAAGCTTCCCCGGCACTTTGTCAGAGATCCGGGTGCATGAAAGACACACTTTGGTAAACTCCATAATGGAGAGGGTGAAATGAGATGAAATGATAACCGTCATGTCGTGTTGTTACATTAGCATGTCATGTCATGTCATGGCATGTCGGCATGGGTGGTTTTTGGCTTGGCCACCTTGCCATTTCGGATGCAGGTACGTTTTCACGACGACATAGATGGGTCTTCGTTGGCCCGTGCCATCTATGCGTCCACGGGCCCCCTGCTTTTCCCTTTGATTCAGGGTTTCTCACACACACACACACGTGCGATGTATGTATATATTATATGTATATACATACATTCCAGGCACATGCGGACAAATAGAACACTAGAACTCACCAAGTTCAACCAGTTTGGGGTCATGTCACTTACCTATGGCACACGCACAGATCATAGTTTTGACATGTTTTGACAAGATACATCAAATGAGATAATATAAGCACTATGAAAATGTTTCACGCTGGATGAAGAAGAAAGTACTTCTAGCTTCCATGCTGACATGTTCAGATAGGCATAAATTAACCATCATAAACCATGCATTTGGGTTTGAAGTGCGCACTCTTGTACGGGCCTGTAATCTATATATGAAGGTGCACAGGAACACCATGAAACCATCTGGTGGTGGCAGCTCAAGACCTTTAATTTGACTCTTGAGTCAATTGAGGCTATGTCGCGCAAGCCTGCCTCCAGCATCCTTTCACTCTCAACGGTGGGCCTGTCATGGTGCACACCCAAGAATTCAACATCATCCAATCTGAACTCTTCTTACTCGATGTTCTCCACCCCATGTTGGTGAGGTGCGTTCATTTGCCTCTTGATTGCAACAAACCTTTCTGGCATTGATCAGAGTTCTCACATGTAGATGGTTCATATGTGCTTCACTCTCAAGGTTCTTGCGCTAGACAATGGACGATGGTTTCTTCACACCGAAAACCTAATCCTGGTGCAATTGCGACTTGGCAGAGTCCTTGTGGCTGAGAGAACAGCCCAGGTTCTGCATGGCTTAAAATGGCTTGAATATGGCACATGGTTTGTATGTACGGAACCAGTCAGAATGGACACACAGAGGCAGGAGGAAAGCAGGAAACCTCTCTGATGGCCAGCTGGATAAGCTGAAAGCAAAACAGTTCTTCTTTGTACGGCTGGTGTTCGTTTTCCGTTTTCTTGTGCCCAGGCAAGAGTTGCACTCCCCGGATTCACCAGTGTCAAGGCCTGAAATGAGCGTTTTGTGGAAGCAGATATGGCCATGGACGAATCCCACATTTTTTTTCTTCGCTTATTCTTTTTCCCGCTTCTGGATTCTTATGGTATCTTGTAGGCTGGAAGAGATCCCAGCAGTTCGAGGAAGCGCGTGGTCACATCACGCAGAGGCCACCTTTTCGTTTCGAAGCTTCGCATAGCTTCGCATAGCTTCGCATAGCTTCGCATAGCTTCGCATAGCTCCACCTTGGAGCTGATCAGAATCAGAGCAGGTTTGGCGCAACCTTCGTCGTTCCCTGACCACCGTGGCGCAGCACAAGTCTCTGGGCTGCTTGATGGCACTTCAGTCTGGGGGGGGGGTAGTTGCCAAACGGGTCAAAAATCGGGAAAATAGGTGGTGATTTTAGTCAGACAAAAGTATGGTTTTGCAGGGTAATGTACCAGGCGGCAAAACAGTGACGGTGGGTATCGATTCCCCCTAGGTCCGGTTTTTCGGGTTTTTCTGGGCTCAATGGTCAGATAGATGGGCCAGCTAGTGAGAGGAGATTGGAGAGAGAAGGACGTTGGGTGAAAAGTATATGGGTGAAAAGTGAAAAGTATGTGCAAGAAGAGTTTCTGGGTGAAGAGTCTCTGGGTGAAGAATCTGTTGGTGAAGAGTCTCTGGGTGAAAAGTATGTGCAAGAAGAGTTTCTGGGTGAAGAGTCTCTGGGTGAAAAGTATATGGGTGAAAAGTGTGTGCAAGAAGACTTTCTGTGTGAAGAGTCTCTGGGTGAAAAGTATATGGGTGAAAAGTATGTGCAAGAAGAGTTTCTGGGTGAAAAGTCTCTGGGTGAAAAGTATATGGGTGAAAAGGATGTGCAAGAAGAGTTTCTGGGTGAAGAGTCTCTGGGTGAAAAGTCTGTGCAAGAAGAGTTTCTGGGTGAAGAGTCTCTGGGTGAAAAGTATATGGGTGAAAAGTATGTGCAAGAAGAGTTTCTGGGTGAAAAGTCTGTGCAATAAGAGTTTCTGGGTGAAGAGTCTCTGGGTGAAAAGTATATGGGTGAAAAGTATGTGCAAGAAGAGTTTCTGGGTGAAGAGTCTCTGGGTGAAAAGTATATGGGTGAAAAGTAGGTGCAAGAAGAGTCTCTGGGTGAAAGTATATGGGTGAAAAATATGTGCAAGAAAAGTTTCTAGGTGAAGAGTCTCCGGGTGAAAAGTATATTGGTGAAAAGTATGTGCAAGAAGAGTTTCTGGGTGAAGAGTCTCTGGGTGAAAAGTATATGGGTGAAAAGTATGTGCAAGAAGAGTTTCTGGGTGAAGAGTCTCTGGGTGAAAAGTATATGGGTGAAAAGTATGTGCAAGAAGAGTTTCTGGGTGAAGAGTCTCCGGGTGAAAAGTATATGGGTGAAAAGTATGTGCAAGAAGAGTCTCTGGGTAAAAAGTATATGGGTGAAAAGTCTGTGCAAGAAGAGTTTCTGGGTGAAGAATCTCTGGGTGAAAAGTATATGGGTGAAATGTATGTGCAAGAAGAGTTTCTAGGTGAAGAGTCTCTGGGTGAAAAGTATATGGGTGAAAAGTATGTGCAAGAAGAGTTTCTGTGTGAAAGTATATGGGTGAAAAATATGTGCAAGAAAAGTTTCTAGGTGAAGAGTCTCTGGGTGAAAAGTATATGGGTGAAAAGTATGTGCAAGAAGAGTTTCTGGGTGAAGAGTGTCTGGATGAAAAGTATATGGGTGAAAAGTATGTGCGAGAAGAGTTTCTGGGTGAAGAGTCTCTGGGTGAAAAGTATATGGGTGAAAAGTATGTGCAAGAAGAGTTTCTGGGTGAAGAGTCTCTGGGTGAAAAATATATGGGTGATAAGTCTGTGCAAGAAGAGTTTCTGGGTGAAGAGTCTCTGGGTGAAAAGTATATGGGTGAAAAATATGTGCAAGAAGAGTTTCTGGGTGAAGAGTCTATGGGTGAAAAGTATATTGGTGAAAAGTATGTGCAAGAAGAGTTTCTGGGTAAAGAGTCTCTGGGTAAAAAGTATATGGGTGAAAAGTCTGTGCAAGAAGAGTTTCTGGGTGAAGAGTCTCTGGGTGAAAAGTATATGGGTGAAAAGTATGTGCAAGAAGAGTTTCTGGGTGAAGAGTCTCTGGGTGAAAAGTATGTGAAAAAAGAGTTTCTGGTTGAAGAGTCTCTGGGTGAAAAGTATATGGGTGAAAAGTATGTGCAAGAAGAGTTTCTGGGTGAAGAGTCTCTGGGTGAAAAGTATATGGGTGAAAAGTATGTGCAAGAAGGGTTTCTGGGTGAAGAGTCCGTGGGTGAAAAGTATATGGGTGAAAAATCTGTGCAAGAAGAGTTTCTGGGTGAAGAGTCTCTGGGTGAAAAATCTATGCAAGAAGAGTTTCTGGGTGAAGAGTCTCTGGGTGAAGAGTCTCTGGGTGAAAAGTATACGGGTAAAAAGTATGTGCAAGAAGGGTTTCTGGGTGAAGGGTCTCTGGGTGAAAAGTCTGTGCAAGAAGAGCTTCTGGGTGAAGAGTCTGGGGGTGAAAAGTATATGGGTGACAAGTATGTGTAAGAAGGGTTTCTGGGTGAAGAGTCTCTGGGTGAAAAGTATATGGGTGAAGAGTATGTGCAAGAAAGTTTCTGGGTGAAGAGTCTCTGGGTGAAAAGTATATGGGTGAAAAGTGTGTGCAAGAAGAGCTTCTGGGTGAAGAGTCTCTGGATGAAAAGTATATGGGTGAAAAGTATGTGCAAGAAGAGTTTCTGGGTGAAGAGTCTATGGGTGAAGAGTATGTGGGAGAGAAGTATTTGTAAGAAGAGTTTCTGGGTGAAGAGTCTCTGGGTGAAAAGTATATGGGTGAAAAGTATGTGCAAGAAGGGTTTCTGGGTGAAAAGTCTGTGCAAGAAGAGCTTCTGGGTGAAAAGTATCTGAATGACAAGTATATGGGTGAAGAGTATGTGCAAGAAGGGTTTCTGGGTGAAGAGTCTGTGGGTGAAAAGTCTATGGGTGAAAAGTATGTGCAAGAAGAGCTTCTGGGTGAAGAGTCTGGGGGTGAAAAGTATATGGGTGAAAAGTATGTGCAAGAAGGGTTTCTGGGTGAAGAGTCTCTGGGAGAAAAATATGTGCAAGAAGGGTTTCTGGGTGAAGAGTCTGTGGGTGAAAAGCATATGGGTGAACAGTATGTGTAAGAAGAGTTTCTGGGTGAGAAGTAAATGGGTGAAACGTATGTGCAAGAAAGCTTTTGGGTGAAGAGTCTCTGGGTGAAAAGTATATGGGTGAAAAGTGTGTGCAAGAAGAGTTTCTGGGTGAAGAGTCTCTGGGTGAAAAGTATATGGGTGAAAAGTATGTGCAAGAAGAGTTTCTTGGTGAAGAGTCTATGGGTGAAAAGTATGTGGGTGAAAAGTATTTGTAAGAAGAGTCTCTGGGTGAAGAGTCTCTGGGTGAAAAGTATATGGGTGAAAAGTATGTGCTAGAAGAGTTTCTGGGTGAAATGTCTGTGCAAGAAGAGCTTCTGGGTGAAGAGTCGCTGGGTGAAAAGTATATCGGTGAAAAGTATGTGCAAGAAGGGTTTCTGGGTGAAGAGTCTGTGGGTGAAAAGTCTATGGGTGAAAAGTGTGTGCAAGAAGAGTTTCTGGGTGAAGTGTCTCTGGGTGAAAAGTATATGGGTGAAAAGTATGTGCAAGAAGGGTTTCTGGGTGAAGAGTCTATGGGTGAAAAATCTATGGGTGAAAAGTATGTGCAAGAAGAGTTTCTGGATGAAGAATCTCTGGGTGAAAAGTATATCGGTGAAAAGTATGTGCAAGAAGGGTTTCTGGGTGAAGAGTCTGTGGGTGAAAAGTATATGGGTGAAAAATATGGGGGAAAATAGGGGTAGATGGGATGCTGGCTTTCGTTCCCCCCTTCTCAGGTATATTTATATGCTATATACCACACACACACATATATATATATATTTATGTGTACAAGGCTTACTGTTTTGTCAGATTTTGGAAGATGCATCCACATAGAATGGGCTTAAGATTTGACTGGCAGGTCGGAAGTGGTTAAAAGCACAGCTCCTGGCTCAGAAAACAAGCTTGTTGCGCTTCCCTGGGTACAGATTTGCCACTATGGCACTGCTATGTAAAAGCTGGGTCGTTTAACCATTCTGATTGCAATTGATCGGTCTGCACTGAAGGACTCCAGTGGGCAGCCACGGCAAAGCAGGCCAAGCCACAGCTGGATTTTTGAGCAATTGGTGATTCATGTTGCTCTCAGTTACTCTCTATATGTATGTTGTCCTGGCTTGCATAGGTTTGTGCTAATCCTGTCTCACGTCGCTTACTGTGGATTGTGATAGGCGTCTATACTTGCTTCTACGGGGTCCCCTAATTTGCAGCCCCAGTGCAGCTGTAATAACAATGTAATAATGTCATTTCGAATCCTGCACTCACGAGCTGCTTGCTAGAACAGTGACAGAAATCTGTACGCTACCACAGGGCGCCACAGGGTCTCCTTAACTCTGCTGGACTAACCTTACCCTTTCCGGTACTTTCTTTCCGCATTGCGCATGTCAGCTTTTCATAGCTTCCCTGCTTTTCCCCAGTCATTCTGAACCTGTTTCCTTGGTCTCAATCATGGCAAGGCTGCCTGAACTTCCAACTGTTTGTGGTGGAGTGCGCAGTCGACCAAGATAAGCAGCCCTGGCCTGGTGCCCTACATCGTTTACCAAAGTTTACCTCTACATCGGTCCATTCCTAGCCCTTTTGTTTTGCTTGACTCTAGATCTCAGCACCAAGTTCCAGCTGAATCTTGGCAAGTGCATTCACCTGCATTCACCTGCATTCACAACAGATCACACATGACATTTAATACTATTCAATCATATTTATGTACAATGTACAGATATGTACAGTAGCTTTTCGCCCCAACCCGAACGTTGCACCATGGAACAATTAACGTGGTTTACATGAAGGATCATATTTCCCGGCCCCATGGAACAATTGACCATACCGCTATTGAGGGGTTTCAGGGACGGGATCAAATCTCCCACCCCCACTGAACAGTTAACCATCGCGCAAATCGTTCCATACTGCCATTAGGGTTTCCATTACGGATCAAATCTCAGACGGAACACTTAACCATACCGCTATTAGGGTCTCGGATAAAGAATCAACATCTCCAACCCCCCTGGAACAATTCATCACACCAGATTCTTCAGAGACATTATTGGATCACGACTGGATACACTACTGCTGGACATTCAGATTCTTCAAAGATTGAAAAAGGGTCAGCAGATCAAGAACTTGCTGCACCATGTCACATAGACGTCGTCTTCGTGTCTGATATCCTGGAACTCTAGGGGGACACGTTAGTATGCTCAATCAGATACGGAGCAACGTCACGGTTGCAGCGTGCACTTTGCATTTAAATTTGTCTGAGCACCAAGGCTAACTGATATGTACCCGATGGCAGAGAGTCCTCAACAGGCGTTGGAATTGCATTGGAATTTTGAAAAGCAGACATGGGTTTCGTAGCACTGACGGTTGTCAATTAAGCTCTGGGAGGGCACTGCAGCGGAGAGTGTCTGGGAAGAAATCATGAAGGCCCCGTCTCTTACTTGCCACATAGATCACCACTGATGGTCTTTTTAAACTTTAAATGTTTTGACCATTTTTGCCATCTTTGCCTTCACATTTCCACAGGACGCTGGCAATCTCATCTTGAACCCATTGGTAGAACAATTGCAGCGCGTGGGCAAACAGGCCGGGAGTGGCAGTGATTCCATGCCCCGTTGCAAATTTGGTTGCCTAGATGGCCTATGTAAGGGCCTTGTATCCCAGTGTAATGCTAAATTTGCTTGGGATTTCTGCTGAAACTCCTGGATTTTGAAGGTGACGGCTTTAGATTCCGGAGGCTCGGAAGTACGAATAAACTTTGCTCTGAGCTTCTCAACTTACTTGATGTGGTCGTTGTATTCTTGTAGCCACTGCGATCGGCCGTGCAAGGAGGTTACGAAACGAGAAAGAGCTCAGCAACTTCAGCTTTTGTTCAACTATGCGAGCCAGACAGTTGACAGCGGAGACAACTCAAAAGAGTGGCGATAGTCGGCGGTAGGACCGAACAATACGCTCGTCCTGGTGCCAGACAAGCCGCAAAAAGAGTACTCGGCAACTTCACCAAACAACTTGATAACGGTAGCTTGTGTGCAGCTCCGTTCCCAGCTTCTCTCCTCTTTCCCTCTGCTTCTTTATCTCTCCATTTTTCGACGTGCAATTGGAAGGCGGCCAAGCTGCTGAGGGGTGACACTCCTGAGTGCCTTTGCGCACAGAACCTTGTCTGCAGTGGCTGCGTGGTTTGAACAAAGCACACATACACATACGTATATATACATACATACATACATACATGCATACATACATACATACATACATATATATATATACATATGTATACATATACTATCACATACTGATATACTGTACTATACACATCTTTTGAGGGATGGTCGTTTGGTTCATCGGTGCAAGGAATGCAGTTGCAAGTGCAAGCATGAGAAGCCCTCGAGAGGCCAGCTTGCATCTGATGTGCAGACTTTGCAGCGTCACAACTTCACAATGCAATTTTTTCAGTGATTTCGTGGAGTTATTGTTATTGCTCTCAACAGGAAAAACTTGATACTGCAGAAGACACATGCAGAGACCACTGCATCTATTTAAAGATTCCTTGAGGCAGGCACTGCCCTAGTGCAGAATGGCAGACAAAGCCCACAGGCAGGGGAACAGCCAGAGAAAGCCATCATCAAAGACAGACAAATCGAAGTGAGGTTATTTGCTTGCTGGCGGATGCTGATTCTGCGTGACTTGGTGCCTCCTGTGCAAGGCTCTTGGCATGCCTTTCACCGCGCCACCTTTGCCAGAGTTGAAGGCTGGAACGCAGAAGGCAAAGAGAGGCATAGACAATCATGGGAATCAGACTTGTTTGTGGTCTGTCATGGCTCCGGAACAGGTGCCTCCAGCTGTGCCCAAGCCTCCAGGTGGTTTCTGCCTTGGCTTATGCCGTCACAGGATTTTTCCGGGATGCCTGGCACGAAATAAGATGACTACAAGATGTTGCCGAGGCCCATTACCACCACCGGCGCCTCCTGGCATCCCGGCCCTTCCACCTGTTCCAAACGTAGATCCTGAGGACTGAAGCAAGGAAACTGCAAAGACTTTGCAAAGATCTTCAAAGACATTTTGTGAGAATTTGTGAGACGGCCTCCTGATGCCCGCTGCATTGTTTTGGTCAGGACATTCACTTGCAGAGCATGGAAGGCCGGCACGCTGACTCAGCGATAGATGCGATGGTAGTAAAAGATTGATAGTACTCTTGTAGCCTTACCGGCTTGTCAGCACTGCTCGCAATATAAGCAATTGCAACGAAAAACAATTAGCGATAGTATTTTAGCGTTGCCAGCTTTACCAGGAATGCTGGCAATATATAGTAGTCCTGCAACTCACCAGTGGAACGTTTGCAAAAACATCCTCGTAGCCATTTTGGCTCAAGTCCTATCCTCGCCGGCCTTGCCTCAGTCGCGGTTTAGCCGATATGTCGCTGAGTAGTCTTGAGTCTGGCTCGGATGACTTCATTGAGGAAGAATTGCTTGCAGACAGTGCCAGCCGGCCTACGTTTTTGCAGCGTGGTCTATGTGCTCTTGGTGGTGTCTCTGCAGCTTTGATACTGATGATGGTGATGCCGGTGCTACATCGGGAGGTGTTCCCCACCAGAGTTCCAAGCGCCAATGTGTTGATCAGCCAGGATGACATTGATGATCTCTCACAACAGCAGTGCGGAACTGTCGACGAGGGAATTTATAGTTTCGGTGCTCCAGGGACTGCGATTGAGTCCCTGCGTGATCTACAGCACAAGGATGGTTGCTTTGCAGGGTTGCGGGTGTGGGCGGAAGATGTTTTGCCAGGGACCGCAAAACAAGAAGATGGAGCAGCCATCAGCAACCAGCTCAACCATCCGCACATTGCATCCCTGCGGCTGCACGCCGAGGAGCATGATTCTCACTTCAAGCCATGTCCTGGCGAAGAAAAGCAGCCCTACTCAAAAGGAAATCAGTTTGCAGACTGGCGCTTGCACTGGGAACCAATTTACAAACCGCGATTGGGAAACCTGTCCCTTTTGGGCAAGGTGGTTGCAGATAAGGCACCTTTCAGCGTGGCCTATGGCTACAATCGCATTGCCTACAAGCAATATGATAGCACCAAGCATGCGAAGGCCCACATCAAAGAAAGGCTGGGTGACAGCTGGAACATTGTCTCTCGATGGACTTTGGTGCAAGGGGCTGGATTTATGTATGACGAGGATCCGATGATGTTGGTACAGGATGCTCAGACCCAACGGTGTGTCATTGCCTTTGCCGGTATCAACAACTATGGCAACGAGCTTGCGACAGCGATGGATGTCAGAACTTCGAGCTTCTGCGGTTTCGACGGCGTTCACACTGGATACAGAGATGAACTTCGAAGGATTGTGAAATTTCTCTTTCCCAAAGTGCGTCCTTTGATGGGCAAGTGCAGTCACCTTGCTTGCACTGGCCACTCCATGGGCGGCACTCTTTGCGATCTTTTCACTGCTTGTGCCAACAGCCAACGTTTGGACGACCCTGATTTCAAAGCTCAATCTTGGCTGAAGGAGGCCCCGGCGGTGATCCCGGAGATTTCCGATTGTGGCGGGGTGCACTACATGGATGATGCAGAGCATAGGTGCAGATGCCCACCGTGCCCAAAATGACATCCTGAGTCCATGAGGGCGGGAGATGACCAAAGTTGTCAACAGATCAACAAAGGTCAACCATATCAAACACTCCTTTTGTGTTCCATTGCTTGGGACACGTCCAGGCAGATGGGGCTTTGCATGGCTGTGCACTGAAGTTTACAGCATCTGAAAGAAGGAACGTTTGCAAAAACACTGGCATGCTGACATGGCATGCTGGTACCATAGCTGTCTTGTTTTCTGCATGCTATTAGACAAAACCATATAAACCTATCAGCACCAAGTTGCGGTTGTTGAATTGTGCGCTTGGATCTTCTGTTTCTTACATACATAATTCATAATTTATGGATTTATAGTTTTTGATATGTTTTGATTGTCTTTTTTATCCACGCTGTGGAGCCCACTGTGTAGTACAGTGGAGGTGCGAACCTGCAGTCTTGGTACACAGTTCCCCCAACAGTGGCAGCACTGGCAAACCTGACACAGTGGAGAGCTCAGGGCAAAGGTTGCTTCGCAACTTATGTGCACCACTCACCGGCCAACAGTTTCAGAAACAGAACAGACGAAGAAACAGAGAGACTGGCAAATAGCAAACAGTAGAAAGACGCAGGATTTCACATAGCACATGCACTTTCTGTAGAAGCACGTAGAAGCTATGTATATAACATGTAGACATCGCACTGGGACCATTCCTTGTGCACCGTCTGACAAGAAAAGGTCGTCACATTTGCTCTCTTTTATACTTTTTTATTTGTCTATCCATCTTCCCATCCATATGCGGGACAGACGGACAGTCAGGGGGACAAACAGAGAAACAGACAGACAAACACGCGCACACACGCACACATCTTACAGCGCACGTCAACAGAACGCAACACCGTAAGTTTGGCTCAGTCCACAGACACAGAACTATAGAAGTAACTATAGACATGCAATGAAGTGCAACCACAGCTGACCGATTCTTGAGTTGTGTTTTCAATTCGAGGGCGCGGCCTCCTTTGAGCCCAATGACGCCATTAGCTCCTGTCCAAGTTGGCCTTAAGTGTTTGTTTGCTTCAAATGTGAAATGGTCCAACTCTGGGCCTTTCAAGTGCTTCAAACAAGGTACGGCCAGATGCAAACGAACTGATGCCAAGGCAATGCACAGTGTTATCGATTAAAAAAAACCACACATTTCTCTGGGAAGCTGGGACGATGAGTTGACAATCATTGTCAATCATTTTCAACAATTACCTGTTTTGTGTGACGGTTGTGACGGTTGGTCATGGGAAGTGCCAGGTTCCTGCCCGTGCCACAAGATGCCCAGGACGCAGCAATCAACTCTTTGTTGAAGTCTTCAGAGTCGGAATCGCAGCTTCGGTCTCAGTGCACTCAGGAGATGCCAACCTGGGCCAAGAATGCTTACCTGCCGGGTTATTCTCAGCAGGCACAGGCACTTCGCGGAAGAACAGTGGTGGCAGTCGACATCAACACCTGTCGCTGTTAGATGCTGTTAGCACTTGGCCGACTCCAAGTTGTTCATTCCATTTCATGCCTTTTGTTGAGAATCAACAGGCATGGAGGCCAGCAATGCCAAGTGGTATCCTTAGAGATGCCATGCCGCCATGCCCGAACTCTCCACGGACAGTTGGTCAATGTTGGTCAACAGCTCGGGCTCAGCTGAGTGGAGCTATGGAGCCCAAAGCACCGAGGCTGGCCGACGCTGCCGACGCCTGCAACGCTGCCTGGAGCTCCAGCAGCTGCAGCTCCAGCTCCGGCCCCTGCAGGCCGGTCGGCCAGTCCGTCGGCCAGTCCGTCGGCCAGTCCGTCGGCCAGTCCGGCCAATGTTAGTCTCAGTGCTGTACCTTTGTCCGGTTGGCAGACCGTGTAAAGTGTAGAGACCACAAAGGCATTGAGATGTCCAGAGACATGATGCGTGATGATCAATTTTGATCCAGGTTTCTTGCAAAAAGCCGGAGAACCAGCTTCTTGGTCTGCATTTGTATTCCTCCAGTGCTTGCAGCATGTTATGCTTAGCTGAGGCTCCCAAATTGGGCGGGATTCCCAGGAGATTCTCGAGAACCGCTTGTGTCAGTATGTGTCAGTACAATTCAGTACATCTTTTAGACATTATGCTGCGGGCTTCCTCAACCTTCACCTGGCACCCAGGCCGAGCTCATTGCCCTTGCAAATGATAGGGAGAGAGATGGTGGGCGCGTGGAAGAAAAATGGTCCCGCTTTACTGACGAGGGTTGAAGTTGAAGAAATTGGTTCAAGTGAAGAAGTGAAGAGCCTTAATTAATCATGCTAATATCATGCTATAACATAACC